CCGAAACTTTGCGACCAGTTTAGCCAAAGCATGTTTGAGCACCACTTTAGCAAACCGTTCGCCGACACAGTAGACCACTTGTCCGCAACCAAATGGTATGAACGAGTGTTGTGTTTGATTGTCGACCGCCGGCGCCATAAAGCGATCCGGATTGAAGGCATACGGATCAGCAAAGTAACGGGAGTTGTGATAAAGCGATATAAACGATAGCTCGACATCAGTACCTTTGGGCACTGTTACGTCGACATCAGGCAAATAGACATCCTCTTTGGCCCGTCTATTGGTCAACGGTAGCGGATATTTGCGTAATATCTCCATCAGTACTGCATTGAGAAACGGTAGCTCCAAAATGTTTAGGTTGTTCGACAAATTGGCGGCAAATAATTCGTCATACAGTCTGCATTGAATCGACTGATTCATTGATAACTCATAGACTGCCATCATTAGCATCAGACACATGGGCTCATAACTGGACAAATAGCACACATAAAACAAGCTTACGATCTCATAGTCGGTTAGCTCTTTATCGGCTGTTTTGTTGTGTCGGTAGTCAAGAAAAAGTTGTAAAAAGTCGTTTGGTTTATCCTCACCACTATTGCCGGCGGCCATCATTTGTCGGCGTCTATGACCGACTATTTTGGTGACACTGTCGACAAAATATTGTTGTTTTTCGCCAAACAATTTCCCGTACGCAGCGATCATGTATTCGGTTAGCCGAGGGATTAACATTGAGGTCAACAATAGCCGTCGATTTTTGTCAATTTGTGGCGCGCTTTCGATAAACTGGTCAATCGATAGCTTAAGTTCGGTAAAACTGGTCGGAAACGAGCAGTAAATCATTATTTCCATAACCAACTCTTGCATAACGTGTCGTGCGTCTACTTTACCGAATGGCGGCAACTTTCGGTCAATAAAATAGTCTATATATTGTTGGCAAACAGTTTCGGTTTTCTTTTCAATGAGTTTCATGTTTTCCGGTTTAAACAGTTGGGCCAACACAACCATACTATACTTGTTGTGTACAGACATATAGAGCCGATAATCGGTCATATGTTTGATAACATACGAGTCTCTCATTCGCGGAAATTTGTTGGCATCGGTACTCAATATCTGGTAAATACTGTTTGGCTCCGATATGATCAGTTCGGGCCGCGAGAAACGGTATGTGCTATATATATAAGTATAAAATAATTATAAAATAAATTTAAACTAATTTTATAAATATATTATTTTTAATTTATAATATAATGTTTAAAATGTTAATAATTATTAATATAATTTTTTTATTTCTAACGTGTGTTTAGGGCTAAACGCTACCTTAAATTTATGAAAGTCAATATACAGTATAATACACATAAATAATGTCGAAACTAACATAATAATGTAGTACCCTTTTAATAAAAATATATATATATACTACTATATAATTTGGAAATGTTTGTCATATTTATATCACGCAAACAATTACTTTTAATGTTTCGGCGAATAAAAAATTAATAAATAAAATATAATGTTTAAATAAAATTTATTTGATAACTTTAGGTACAGCAGTGCCTTTATGCTTCAAACAATAATGTACTCTAGGCATAAAGTCGTATATAACATTTTTAATTAAATTAATATCATTTTTTAAGATATCAAAAGCATAAATTATTCGCTGTTTTAATTGTGATAAATTAGTTGGTTTGTTATTAGTATTCCAAACAATTGTCTTAAGATGATTCCATAGAAAATAATCACATGGATTCAAGTCACTTGAATTACTGGGCCAAACAAATGAAGTTTTCAAACTTATGATTTTTTCTCCAAAAGTGTTTTTTAAAAACTCTAACGTATCTTTAGCTATAAGATAAAAAATAAAGTTTTATTATATGTTTCAATGAATATATTATTAAAATCTATGATTTGTTATGCATTTTGTTTTTGTTTAACTGGTTTTCTATTCATTATAATGACGGCCGCATCGGTTAACTCCTGTACTAATAAATACTATAAACTATTATATAATTACCCGTATGACTTGATGCCCCATCCTGTTGGAAAATTTGATTTTTGAAATTATTTCCAGTTAATAATTTCAGATCATCAACAAATTTGTTTATTACAGTTTGGTAATTGTCTTGATTAACTGTAACTCTTTTTCCTTGAATATCTTCAAAAAAATAGGGTCCAATTAGGCCTTTACTGGATATTGCGGTCCAAACAGAAATATATCCAGGATGTGATACTTTTTCAATAAAAGTAGACTTGGGTTTTCCTTTTTCTTTATTACTCCATTTTCTGTCATTTTGTTTATTAATAAATTGTTCCAATAAAAAATGACTTTCATCCGAAAACCTATAAATATAATAAACTTTTTTATTTAAAACTTACAATTGAAGACAGTTTTCCATGATAATATGTCATACTTACCAAATATCATCTAATACTTGAGGGTTATTTTTAATAAAATTAATCATTTTTTTACAAAATTCAATTCTCATTTTTTTAGATTTAATAGTTAGTCGTTGAATAAATGTATATTTATACGGATGCATATTTAATTGTTTTTTTATTATTTTATGTACTGATGTTATACTAATTAAATTATTATTATTATTACTTTTACTTTTACTATTATTATTATCACTATTATTACTATTATTATTATTACTATTATTATTATTTAATTTATTAGTTATTTTTCTCACTGATTTAAATTTTTTTAGTAGTTTTCTAACTTTTTCAATATTTTCTTTATTTATTACAATTTTTGGATTTCCACGTTTTAAATTTTTTACAGTATTATATTTATTAAACTTTTTAACTAATCTTAATATAGTAGTTTTATGTGGAGCACTTTTGTTAAAAACACTATTAAATTGATTTTGAATGTAATTAATTTTATTTTTACATTCATTATTTGGTTTAAATTTATAATAACAATTTATTATATAATTTCTTTCAATTTCACTATAACTTTCTTTTTTATTAGACATTTTATTAATTAATTATAACTACAATTAAAAATATTTTTTAAAAGTAAATAAAAACTAAATATATTTAACTAAAAGTTAATTATAAACAAAACACGTGTTTTGTAGTTTTACAAACTTATACTAACTTAAATATTTTTCATACTCTACTCCCCTATATTTCTTATCAAACATTATTAATGTTGTTTATTACTGATAATATTAAGCCTTAGACCGAGGTAGCGTTTAGCCCTAAACACACGTTATAAAAATTGTACCCGATAACATTGCCAAATTTGTTGAACCATAATAGCAATTGTTGTGAATGATGTCCCAAAACAGTGTGCAAATAGTTGCCATATATTGGTATGGGTTTGGGACCAGAGATTCCACGCAATTTCCAATAATTAAAATAAACTATATATTGACTTTTATATATATAAAAAAATAAAGATTATAAAAATTAGTTAGTATATTTTTTTAATTGTAATTATATTTTCACAAAAATTTAATTAAATATTATATGTAAATATACAAACATAGCTATGTAAGTTAGAGTTGCACAAATAATTACAAATATAATTTTAACAATATTATTGTATAACTCATTAATGATGGTATTAGTTAGAGACATAATTTTTAAAATAAAAAATTATTAACTATTTTATAACTTTAACTTCAACTTAAAATATTACTACTATTTATAAGTTTTATAAAAAATAGCATATTCATGTACAGTATATAGTTTATACATGTTTATAAACTGTCTTATATTTAATTAATATAAAAAAATATATTTATGTAATGAGTTAGCATATATATATAAAATAGTAAATATTTTTTATTAAAAGTTTTGAAATGTGTGTGTGATTTGACTGTTTGTCGAGTATGGTTGGCCGCGGACTAATGCCTAGCCCTAGAAGACATCAGAGTTTTAAATTAATATAAAATATCACAATTCATATATAAATTATCAATACAGAGGACTAATATAATTTTAAAATAATTATAATTTATAATACATATTTTCAGTTATATAAATTTTGAACATTTATTATCATTAAATTAGCTAGCGACATACAGTATTTATAGATTTAGACATTATTTAATTTTTATTTAAAAAATGCAGAGAAAGTTCATACCCCATTTTGTACGTCCAAATTAAAAAAAATCATTATTCCCCCCCCCCTAGAATCGAAAACTGTGCTTAATATTGATATAAATATACATACAATTTTTATAAATTCATATAATTATAATACTACATAAACATGTTACATTTTTACATTTTTTACACAGAGTTTAAATGAAGAAAAATGTTTTAATTTTTATATGTATACTGTATGTAAAAATGGCAATTGTTTATTTTGTAATATTACATTCAAATAACTTAAATAATGAAACATGACTAGTTGATTATTTTGTCAAACTGAAGCATATAAATACCCTACATGACTAATTTTGAGTTTATTTTGTAATACCACATATTTTGAAACTGCAAGTAAACTATAATTTACTATTTAATCTGGATAAGGAGTTCGTATGAAAATGCTTTCTAGCATTCTCAACTGGTTACTAGTATTTTATTGTACTTTTAAACATTAGAAAGTAATGTAACTAGTAACAATACTTAAAGTGATTTTTAATATTTATTCATTGAAACATTTTTATTATTTCAAATCATTCAAATATAATAATATTTAACTTTATCTTTACTATACAAATGTACTGTTATAATTAAAATTTGTTAAAGTATTGAAATAAAAATATTATTTTTTTAAATATTTTATATTTACTTTAAAACTAGCTAGATTTTAATTACATTTTATAGAAAAATTATTATATTATTATTATAAAATGACAATATTAAAATTAATTTTATATAATATTGACATTGTTATCATAAGTTTGGGTACATATTTAATTTATTGGTATGAAATAAAGTATCAAATTAAATAAATAAATTATTATTATTTAATTGTTTTTTTAAAAAATCATTTAGCTTATGTAAACTCTATAAGCAAAATAGTTATTGGATCCAACAAAATGTACCAGGACCATTTCCAATACCCATATTTGGTAATTTTCTACATATTATCATGCTCAATAATCGTAAATGTGTTGAAAATTGGTGCAAAGCGTACGGAAAAATTGTCGGGTAATTAAAATTATGCAAAAAATACAACTATTTATTGTATTTAATTTAAATGATTTTTTTTGAATAGAAAAAACTTTGTATTTAAATAATTAAAAATATTTTCATTTTATTATTGTTAAGTATTTAGTAGTTTTTACATAATATTTAATTATTGTTTAGTTAAAATAACAATTTATTTATATGTAATTATTTTTTTATAGGACACACCGATTCGGAACACCCGAACTGTTGATCACAGAGCCGACGCTTATCCGTCAGATTTTGGTCAAAGACCAGGCATTCAGCGGTGTTCGCGATTCCCGTCTATTCGATCACATCTGCTTTCGCGAAGTCCGGACCAGTATTACCGATACATCGGTCAAGACATGGATCTATTTGTTGCCGCAACTGTTCAAGTCGTTAAACATAGCGGTTGTTGCCGACCAACTGGACAATGTTTGCCACAAATTTGTCGGCAAATTGAGTGCACAGTTAGCCAAAACTGGCGGTTGCGATGCTGTCGAGTTGAACCGATCAATGAGCCGATTGGCCAGCGAGATATTGGTCAGGTGCTCGTTTGGCGCCGATCTCGACAAGTTGGCCATCGATTGCGACCGGTTTCGAGCAAACACACCGCAAATCGGTGCCAACAGAGCTATATTATTGACATCGCTATTGTTTCCCGTATTAGATCCCGTACTGATAGCTTGTGTTAAACTGTTTCGCCAGCAAAAGGGCCAGTATTTTGTGGACACTATACGGCGTTTGATTGACGAAAGACGGTCGTGTAGACAACATTATCCGGACCGACAACACAACGATTTTCTACAATATTTTATGGATTATACCGACAACAATAGGCCAGACATTCAACAATTGACGGACAATCAGATTATTAACCAGTTTTATGTCATGTATTTTGCATCGTATGAGGCGCTGACACTCAAACTGATGATGTGTTGCCACGAGTTGGCCACCAATCGTGATATACAGGACAGACTGTACAAAGAGATAAGCGCTGCGACAATGACAACAAAAACAACAACACCTACTACTATTGATAATGGACAGCACCGGCCTATAAGTTACGATACGTTCAACAAAAAGATGCCGTTTCTGAACGCTGTAATCTCGGAAACATTGCGCAAACACAGCGATATTATTATCAGCCGTAARACAGTCAGCGATACCAAGTTATTGTCGGCCAATGGCACCGATATCAGTGTGCCGGCCGGTATGTGYGCCGAAATTGGACTCCATGCTCTGCATCACGATCCGGACAACTTTGCCGAACCGCATCGCTTCAATCCGGACCGATTTATGCCGTCCTCTACTACTACTACTACTACTACTACTACTACTACTACTACTACTACTACTACTACTACTACTACTACTGCCATTAAGCCGTATACATATCTACCGTTTGGTCGCGGCAATAGACAGTGTGCGGCACCGGTATTCGGCAAATTAGCCCTCAAAATAGCCATGTTTTATATTGTTCAGGCATTTGAATTGTCCAGACATCGGTTGACTCCCTGTCCGCCTAACTATCTCCGAGTACCTGAACTGGCGCTACCCGACGATATTACTATTAGTTTTAAAGTTAGAAATTAAGCCCAATATTTATGTAATTTTTTTTACTAATTATTAGATTTTTCGTTTAATATTTAGGTATTTTAAGTTTACTGAGATATATCTGATTTATTTTATTATAATTTCATATTTTCTAAAAATGTTTTTTTTGTATTTTGTTATTTATTGTAATAACGTGTGTTTAGGGCTAAACGCTACCTCGGTCTAAGGCTTAATATTATCAGTAATAAACAACATTAATAATGTTTGATAAGAAATATAGGGGAGTAGAGTATGAAAAATATTTAAGTTAGTATAAGTTTGTAAAACTACAAAACACGTGTTTTGTTTATAATTAACTTTTAGTTAAATATATTTAGTTTTTATTTACTTTTAAAAAATATTTTTAATTGTAGTTATAATTAATTAATAAAATGTCTAATAAAAAAGAAAGTTATAGTGAAATTGAAAGAAATTATATAATAAATTGTTATTATAAATTTAAACCAAATAATGAATGTAAAAATAAAATTAATTACATTCAAAATCAATTTAATAGTGTTTTTAACAAAAGTGCTCCACATAAAACTACTATATTAAGATTAGTTAAAAAGTTTAATAAATATAATACTGTAAAAAATTTAAAACGTGGAAATCCAAAAATTGTAATAAATAAAGAAAATATTGAAAAAGTTAGAAAACTACTAAAAAATAAATCAGTGAGAAAAATAACTAATAAATTAAATAATAATAATAGTAATAATAATAATAGTAATAATAGTGATAATAATAAATAGTAAAAGTAAAAGTAATAATAATAATAATTTAATTAGTATAACATCAGTACATAAAATAATAAAAAAACAATTAAATATGCATCCGTATAAATATACATTTATTCAACGACTAACTATTAAATCTAAAAAAATGAGAATTGAATTTTGTAAAAAAATGATTAATTTTATTAAAAATAACCCTCAAGTATTAGATGATATTTGGTAAGTATGACATATTATCATGGAAAACTGTCTTCAATTGTAAGTTTTAAATAAAAAAGTTTATTATATTTATAGGTTTTCGGATGAAAGTCATTTTTTATTGGAACAATTTATTAATAAACAAAATGACAGAAAATGGAGTAATAAAGAAAAAGGAAAACCCAAGTCTACTTTTATTGAAAAAGTATCACATCCTGGATATATTTCTGTTTGGACCGCAATATCCAGTAAAGGCCTAATTGGACCCTATTTTTTTGAAGATATTCAAGGAAAAAGAGTTACAGTTAATCAAGACAATTACCAAACTGTAATAAACAAATTTGTTGATGATCTGAAATTATTAACTGGAAATAATTTCAAAAATCAAATTTTCCAACAGGATGGGGCATCAAGTCATACGGGTAATTATATAATAGTTTATAGTATTTATTAGTACAGGAGTTAACCGATGCGGCCGTCATTATAATGAATAGAAAACCAGTTAAACAAAAACAAAATGCATAACAAATCATAGATTTTAATAATATATTCATTGAAACATATAATAAAACTTTATTTTTTATCTTATAGCTAAAGATACGTTAGAGTTTTTAAAAAACACTTTTGGAGAAAAAATCATAAGTTTGAAAACTTCATTTGTTTGGCCCAGTAATTCAAGTGACTTGAATCCATGTGATTATTTTCTATGGAATCATCTTAAGACAATTGTTTGGAATACTAATAACAAACCAACTAATTTATCACAATTAAAACAGCGAATAATTTATGCTTTTGATATCTTAAAAAATGATATTAATTTAATTAAAAATGTTATATACGACTTTATGCCTAGAGTACATTATTGTTTGAAGCATAAAGGCACTGCTGTACCTAAAGTTATCAAATAAATTTTATTTAAACATTATATTTTATTTATTAATTTTTTATTCGCCGAAACATTAAAAGTAATTGTTTGCGTGATATAAATATGACAAACATTTCCAAATTATATAGTAGTATATATATATATTTTTATTAAAAGGGTACTACATTATTATGTTAGTTTCGACATTATTTATGTGTATTATACTGTATATTGACTTTCATAAATTTAAGGTAGCGTTTAGCCCTAAACACACGTTATATTATTATTTTGTATGAAATTCAATAATATTAACTATTAGAAAATGTTAGACAATGACTTTGTAAATTTGTTAATAATTTAAAAAAAAATAATATTAGTACTTTAAACAACTACATTATTTAAAATAATGATATTAAATTAATATTATTAATATACAATACAATATTGTTTTATTAATTATTATTTATTTTTTGTATGTAATATACTTTTATGATATAAAACTGTAGTAATGATATCTATAGTAATTATAACAATTTTATTATTACTTTTATTCTACTTAGTTTAGTAAGTATAATAAATTGCTGATTTTATGGTTATTTTAATTAAAATAATTTATTTTTGTTTTGTATTTTTGAATAGTATTTGGCTAAAWGATTATCAATATTGGACTAGCTGTGGCATACCCGGACCCAAACCGTTACCCATTTATGGTAATCTATTGAATTTTTTTATAAAACCCAATGTTAATCTAATTATTGACTGGTATCGCAAATATGGTCCAATATATGGGTTAGTAAARCATAAATAAAACTAAAACTAATKTTTAATTAATTAATATTTTTGTTAACTTTGTTTCAATTTAGTATCTATCGGCTGAARACACCGGAACTCCATATTRCGGACCCGGAGCTCATCAAACAGGTATTGGTGACCAAGTTTCACGTATTTCGCAATCGACGGCCAGTCAARCGYCGCATAAACAGCCGATTCGGCAAAATGCTGGTCAATATGAGAGACGACGAATGGAAACGTATGAGAAGTCTACTGAATCCAGTGTTCACTACTAGTAAACTAAAACAAATGGTCGAACTATTGGACAGTTGTTGTCAGCGATTTGCCGAACATCTCCAGATGATCATCAATAAGACACCCGAAGTAGACATCAAGGATTTGATGAAATCGTTGGCCATCGATATGGTTACCAATACAGTGTTTGGTACACAAGTTGATATCTATGGCCAATCAGSGGCCGGCGATTCMCWACAGTTTCTCAATCAAAGCAAACGTTTTACAGAGTTTTCGCGGTTACAGATGTTTTTGATGACAGTTGCGCCCAAAYTGTCATCAGTTGTATACAAATTGATGAGCCGTTTCTCTACTAACACGACGACTACTACTACTAMTACTACRGATGAATCACCCGATCAATACTTTTATAACTTTTTGAAAAGAGTTATCAAACAAAGATTATGGTGATAATAATAGGCGACGAAATGATTTGTTACAGATTTTATTGGATTTAAAATTAGACACCAATTTCATGGATGATAATAATGAGWCAATCGATACCAACGATAACGTTAGTATCATTACCGACGATGAAATACTTTCGCAATGTTTTCTGTTTTTTTCCACAAATATCGAAGAAGTTGGTTCACATTTGGCTTTTGTTTTSTATGAGTTGGCACTGAARCCGTCAATTCAAGATCGCTTGAGACAAGAATGTCGACAGAGWCAAGTGTTTGATGAAACTACCGGTTCGGTTGACTACGAAAATCTAATCAGACAGCCCTATCTCGAYGCYTGTGTGTCGGAAACTTTGCGTAAATATCCGCCAACAGGTATTGCACGGCAAGCAATGGCCGACATACGGCTCGACTACGGTATCGACAATCAGAATCTGATCATCAAAAAGGGTACAATAGTCGAAATACCGGCTCATGGTATACATTATGATGAGAAATATTATCCGCAACCGTATGAGTATATACCCGATCGGTTTATGCCGGAAAACAGGTCAAAAATCAATGCCTATACATACCTGCCGTTTGGTGTCGGCCCCAGACATTGTATTGGTCTAAGGTTTGCACAGTTACAGTCAAAACTGGTTATTGCACGACTGTTGCAACGATTTCAATTGACACGTGTCCAGAGCACAACTGTACCGCTAGTGTTTCGACCGCATCCCGAAGCCATAACTACTGAACCYATWATTATTAAAGTTTCAAATATAAATTGATTTTTTTAAATACAGTATAAATTTTAATTTTGCAATTATTACAAAATTAATGGACACAAAAACTTGTTWATATACAATATTAAAAAAATATATAGAAAAAAAAGTTTAGTTTATTTTGTTGTACTGAATCATTTGATACCCTACATGATTAATGTTGAGTTTATTTTGATCTTATAAAGTTATTTAAGTAAATTATAATTTAATATTTAATTTAGATAAGGAGTTCGTACTGGAAATGCTTTTGAAATATTCTCAACTGGTTTTATAATATATTCAATAAATTAAAAACTAATTAGAATAGAAATATTTAAATTATGTAACTATTTTAATTAATTGTTTTATTTTAAAAAGTTTAAACTTAAATTATAATATTATTTCAAAAATTTTTAATCTAATAAAACTCAAAATACATATTATAGTAACCTATTAAATGTTTCACTAAAATTAATAATTTAGTTTTTGTATTTTATGGCATTTATAGATTTATTTTAAAAAAACACATAGTTTTCAATAGTTATAATGAAAAATATATTATTTAAATATATATATATATAACTATTTTCTTTAATAGTTAGTAACTACATTTTTTATTTCAAAATAATTAACTAATAAAACTAAAAAAAAATCGGACAATCAAAATAAATATGTCAAACAATAATAATTATGATATAAAAATTTATAAGTATTTTACTCATATTTTAAATAACTTTTAAGATTTATTTTAAGATATATAAAAAGTAAAACATTTATTTAAAAAAATTTTTTTAATAACTTTTTATTATTATATTATTATTGTTTATTGATATATTTAAAAAAATTTATTATCTAGTATATTTAAAATTATGTATAAGTAATATTATTATTTTTTTTATAAATAAAATTCACATTWATGTTTGATTGCAATATASCAAAAGTCCCCCACAAAAAATATTGCCATTTATTATATACACAGCAATACAGTGTATATACAGTAAAAAGCAATGAAATGTTTGTATAAAAACAAAACAAAAATACAATTGAAAACATTTATCACATATTATTATTATTATTATTATTAAACATTTTTTTTGCTGCCATTGAAGACATTGACAATCAATTGATCGATGACTGACTTTAACCACAACAACAACAACAATGGTTAGGAAGAGTGTGAARACAACAACAACAGCTGATCCGTCATTATTGCTGATGAAGTTGAAGACAACAACAACAACAACARCAAACACTACCACTGGATCTGCTGTTGCTATTCATATCAACGATATMTTTGGCGAAGTGGTCGCTGAAAACAAACGCTTGACGGATGAGTTGGCCTATGTTTGCCAATTGATTGGTCAACTGAAGACACATTTGTCGCTATTGCACGACACCTATTGGACATTCATTGATAGTCGACATCGCGATGAATGGCAATCATTGAAACAGAAACTAACGGTTATTAAGACACCCATTACTACTACTACTACTACCGCCACCGCTGACAACAACAACACGAAGAAGGAGAAGAAGAAGACTGAAGAGACAAATGTGCCAAAAAACCCCGCAAAAGACGACCGAACGGCAGTCTGTGCGGTAGTCTGTCTCGTCTGTCTGGTAATGCCATCAACAATAACAAGCATCAAGAAGTGATGTCCATAACTACTACTACTACTATCACTAATAATAAACCTACGGATGTGTTGTCGTTGTCTACAGATGTTGTCGACAACGACGACAACCGACAAACAGTATCCAAACAACACAAACCAATTAAACGCCAGAAACGATGGGTTAGACCTAAATATAAGGAGATGTCGGATGACGACGACGACGACTATGTTAACAACGACAACAACAACTACTACTCCGATAGTAATAGCTATACGGATAACGCGGACACAACCGCCACCACTGTTACTACTACTGAAAATCCGATGGATCCGAAACAATGTAAATATTTTGATAAAGACTTAAACAAATATGTGTGTCCACAGTGTGATCGGCGATTGGATCGTGAAAAACAAATCTACCGACACCTGCATATTGTACACAAAGTAGAGCGACCGTGTATTTGCTTCTACCCGGACTGCGACAAAACGTACGCCAATCGCCAGTATCTGGACAGACATCTCGAAGCGCACGTTAGGCCACAGATACGTCTGCCCGAACCGGAATCAGATCCGAATTCATTGTTGCTAATGAAACGTAACAACTTTGACGAAACTAGTGGCCAATATATGTGTCCGAATCCGGACTGCGAACTAGGATTTCCGTCATCCCGACAACTGTACGCCCATTTCTATAGCCAACATTACATACGGGGTGAGTGGCGGTGCGATTATCCTGACTGTTCAAAAGTATACAAAACAAAAGTCTTGCTCGACGTTCACCAGAAGATCCATTCGGATGTCAAACCGTATGTCTGTCAACATCCGGAGTGTACGAACGCCTACCGAACAAAAGCCGAATGGAAATCCCATCAGAAGGTACACCAAGAAAATCGTCAGACCTATCAGTGCCCCGATTGCGAAATGGTTTGTTTGAGTGAAAAATATTTGAACAAACATATGATTTATAAGCATTCGGGTGAGAAAACAATCAAATGCGGTATCGATGACTGCGAAGAAATGTTTCACTTTCCCTATCAGCGAACCCGTCACCGAAAGAAAGTCCATAACGTTAAGTACGCACCGGATAAGCGTATTGTACGCGAATGTCAGTGGCCGGGATGCGAGTATCGTACCGATCATTGTACCAAATTGAAGACACATATGCGTAAACATACCGGTGAACGTGTGGCCTGCCAGTGGCCGGGATGCGAGTTTACTACTACATCGGATACACTGGTCAAAGAGCATATGCGCCGCCATACTGGCGAACGACCGTACGAGTGCCAGTGGCCAGATTGTGGCAAACGATTTCGTACCTATAAGATCTATCGCACTCATTACGATATACATAGAAATCATAAGCCGTTTGTCTGCGATTGGCCCGGTTGTGACTACCGGAGCAACAGTAAAGGCAATCTATACACCCATAAGAGGACACACGAAAAGGATAAATATCCGACAAAACCGCGTATAAGGCCGTCGCGGGCGAAGACCGCTAATAAGTCACAGTTGTTGTCGTCGGCGAAAAAATTGTCGCCGAAAAAACTGGTGAAAAGCCATGTGATTGTTACAGGAACTGACAGTACAGGTGCTGATAGTGGTGGTGGTGGTGGCGGCGGTATTATCGGTGGTGATCTACCACAAGAGGGATCAACAACGACAACAACAGCTGCAACTATAGCTCATTTGTCTCAACTGTTTCAAAATGCTCATTGACCTTAATATGACCTCTCATATCTATTACAATATGCATGGGGGGGGGGTTAACGGCAGTGGTGTCATAACTTTCCTTCAAACAAACAAAAAATTGTGCGAAATATATATATATATATATATAATATAATATATAGACAACAAATAATTATTAATATTTATTTTTAACAAAAAATAAAAACAAACATTAATTTATTAAATAATTAGTTACTATAATTTAATTTGTAATCAACTTATAATAATTGTTAAATTATTTAATTGTATATCGTACCCCGGTAATATATATATATAAATATATGTATAAAGTAAATTAACACAAATTTTTCCTATACATAAATGATGTTATATAATAAATTTGATAATAAGTTATTCAACCTAATTTAAAATTATTTTTTTTGTTTATAAAAAGCTTTAAAAATAATTTATTATAAACTGTACTGATTTTTAGAATGTACTTAAATTTTGTATTATTATTATTATTACTATACATTAAAATTATCTAAAAAATAAATAATTGCTAAATTTTTTTTTATAATTATAATTTTTGTTATCATCAAAAAAAAATTCAAAACAATTCCAATAAAAAAAAATGTTTGCCATAGAAACCAATAAGTTTTTCTAATAAACATAAAACACTCTCAAAAAAATAACACATAAAATTGATAAACTGTATTTAATAATATTTTTTATAACAACAAAAAAACTATGGTCAGGGTGTTTGGCATCGGTATCGGCCTATTCCTAATGGCCGTCCTCTGGCCAACCACATTGATATTCTACATAATCAGCCGCAAGGCTAGACCACCCATAACGTAATAATCAACAAACAAACAAATATAACTATGCTAAAAAATTATTAAAATCTAAAATTTCTATACTAATTATATATATATATTAATTTATTAAAATAAATAAATATTTTTTGTTACAATTATTAGGACATTTGGCTTTACATCACTAGTACTGCTAACAGTGCTAACAGTAATACTATTACTATTGCCGCGCGAATTACCTGCCGATTCCTCTTCAGGCGATACCATGAAATCAATGGTCAATAAGACAACTGATTTAATGTCACTTTTCCGACCCATTATCATAATCATCAACATTATAGCCCTTATCTATGCTATTGGTTTAATTTATAACCGATTTGTGTGCAAACAAATTATAAGGTATGTATGTGTGTGTGTGTGCATGTATGTGTGAGTATGTATGTGTGTGTGTGTGCATGTATGTGTGTGTATGTATGTGTGTGTGTGTGTCAGATAATTTAATTAAAATAATTTTTTATTTATAATAATAATAAAAGTATTTTTATTKTTATTATTTTATTTAATCCATAACTACTAATAAGGCCAAAACTATCTGAACTGCAAATCAAAACAATCAATCCGTTTGGCGGCTAATTATAGCCACAAAACTTTAATTTTTTTAAAATAAAAAATGATAATTTATATATAAAAAAAATTATTATTTTTATTTAATATTTACTTTTAATTATTGTATATTATTATAAATTAAAATCTAAGTTATAGTCTATGAAATAAATAACAACAAAAATTAATTTTAATTATTAGTAAAATTAATTTATATTACAATTTTTTTATAATAATAAATTTTTGGATTTTTTATACAATAAAAAAAGTTGTCCTTGTCTAAAATTAAATACTGTAGAAATAAATTTTTAAATAATAAACTATATATATATATATATATTAATTACTAACTTACTTTAGTTTTATTTATGTWGTTATTAAATATACTATTAATGTTAAGGTTATCAATATAAATATTTAAACAAAATTTAATAAATATTAATTGTATATTTATCAATTCCTACACATAGTTTATAATTTATAATACAAACTACTACARTAGTTAGAGGCAGTAATAAATATATTAAAAAATTGTATCAACAATTTCCTCAACAAACAAAAAATTATATCCCGGAGCTAATTCCAATACCTGAAAATAATGTTATTGTATATATATAACAATTTTTTTACTATTATTTTTATATGTTTAACTACATTAAAAATATATGATTATTTTCAAAAGAGTTTTGTATTTTCTAATAATAGTAATAATAATAATAATAAAATAWCAWTAGTATCTTATATTTTAATCGCATTGTTTTGTTACAATGAATTTTTAAAATTATCAAATATTATTTTATCAATTTTTTAAAAAATATTTTATTTGTTTAATTTAAATGTAAAATATTTAAATACATTAATGTTTGTTTGTTTTTGTTGTTGTTAAAAATATTACTACATTATTATATTGTTAAACAATAAATTGGATTAACTTATTATTTAAAGTAAGTGAAAATTAGTTATAAATATTATTTTGATTGATTGTAAATCTAAATTAACACTTATTTATACTTCAATAATAATTACTTATTTAAAAATATATAATTATAAAATTTATTAATCTATTTAAATGAAAAATACTAATTAAAAAATACTATTAAATAATATAAAATATTGTTTAGCCATTGAAATTTATTCAAATAATTTTTAATTAAATTTAAATAAAATATTGTTGTTGTTGATGTTGAAAATTTTCTAATATTTATCATTATTTCTATACAACTATAGATAATTATATATTTATAAGTTATCATATTATTATTATTATTAAAATTATACTACATGAAGCATAAATTAATATTTATTTATACATATAATCTATTTATATATAGAGTATATATATATATATCGGCAATTGTGACAAATTAAAATAAATTATTTTGTATTCAATATACTTAATAAATGCAGCAATTTATCAAAGAAATACATTAATATGCAATCAAATTGTTTACAATACATCAAATTGTATATTTACTGTACATTATATTATACAATTTTTTTATTTGATTTAATGAATAAATTTTTAGATATCATAATATCAAATAATWATAATAATAATATATAAATTATTATTTTCATACATTTATATTTCAATTGAACGTAACTTTTAAGTATGAATAATGTATAACAATTATRATATATTAAAWAYATATATATATATATATATTCATAAWGTTAAATGACTCGCAATTATTAATAACTTAAAAATCCATTTAATGTCTTTTAAAAATAACAATAACTGCAACAACAACAACAACAACAACAACAACAAAGATAACAATATAATGTTTATTAATTGAAAATTTTCTATATAAATAAAAAGTATATCTATTAAATATAATATAAACATTATATTTATTAAAATGATGTTTTTGACTGAACAATATTATATTATAGTAATATATTCTGATATATATTATACAACAACAACAACACATGATATATTAGGGTTTAGTGTATATATTGTATATTTACAGAATATATACATTATATAATAGTATAATATTTGTGTATTCATAATAATATTAAAATAATGATAATTACTGACCTAAAAATTGAATGTCAAATCTTTTTTTATAACAAGAGAGAGAGAGAGAGAGAGAGAGAGAGAGAGAGAGAGAGAGAGAGAGAGAGAGAGAGAGAGAGAGAGTTACTGCTAAATGAATGAATTTCATCGATCACTCAAATTCCTGTACAGTATCTGCCCATCCATTAGACGTATATATTAAATATATAGGAATATTCTGATATTCTGTACATTTTTATATATGATTTTATTTAGGATATAAACACATTTCTCTCTCTTTCTCCGAAAGCCTGAATATTAATAATAAATGTATTTAGATATGAGTCTCAAAATTATAATATCCATTTGAATAGGCAACTCATGAATGAAAAATAAGCGCATATATAATAAAAAATCTATTGAATGAAAGATATAATTTATTGTGTCTTTAGTCAGTTTGTGTGTGTATGTGTGAGTGAGTGAGTGTGTGTATGTGTGTGTGTATGTGTGAGTGAGTGTGTGTGTGTGTGTAGTGTGTGTGTGTGTGTGTGTGTGTGTGTGTGTGTAAAAAATTTATTTATTTAATTATATTAAACTATGATATAATAAAATGAGTGTGTGTGTGTATTATGTCTCATTGATAACATCTTAGATATGGCATTATATTATATAATATTTAGGTCTTTACACACACATAACTTTATATACGGTATATAAGATAGACCTATTATTTATCGGAAATCTATGTCTATATATATATGTGTGTATTATATAACTTACTAGTATTAGTATAATATAAAAATAAAGCTTAAGATTAAATATAAAAATATTTAAAAAAGAAAATATTCTGGCATTTAATATGATATGAGAGCTCATATATAATATATATTTTGAGTCTATATTTTGTTTTATGAAAAAAAATTTAATTTATTTACTAGTTTTTCAACACTTATTTATTTATTTTTTCTTATTGTTGTTGAATTGTTGCTAAGACTACATATAAATTATAACTYTTTTTTTGTGTCTATTATTTTATTTTTTAAAAACTAAAATTGTATAACATTTTTAAGCATAGGATATAATAGTTTGGCATTAAATAAATTGACTTTTTTTATGACTCGTTTTTTAACAGAAAAATATAGTATTTATATAATTTATATATATATATATATAAATCCATGTCATCTAATGATTACATATAAATCATTATTTTAATTAAGATTWCAAACTAAATATATTGCTTTTGCTGTGATTTTTATAAATATAATAGTGTATATAATACTTGTAATAATTTTATATGTATAAAATATATGTAAAACATAATTAAATATTGTACATTTATTATTACTAATATTATATTTTTAATTAAATTAAACATTTTAAATTAAGTACAATTTTGTTTTAATGGTTATTGTTTTAGCCAAAAAAATTAGTTTTTATTTGCAATTACTTTATTTAAATGATATAAAATATTACATTATTAAATTTGTTATTGCATTACTGTATTGTATATATTTGTATTGTATTGAATAATATTAAATTGTGTTTTCATTTATTTTTAWAAACTTTACTACTTTTATGAAAAAAAACATTTATTAAATTTTATGAATTTTATAAATACTAAATTAAATTTTWAGTGTGTAAAACATTACATATACACAA